GGGGGGGAGGAGTTCAGTGGGCACATACGGCGGGGGCGTGGGGTGAATCTGTTGCCAGTTGCCTAGGCCACGTAATGAAGAGGATGTTGTGCGGGGAGGGCTTGGAAAAGAGGGGGACTGCAGAGGACATAGGGGGAGGGAGGGGTGGCAATGTATGGGCACATTCCCCTACCAGCGTGGATGCTAGAGCGTTTCATACTATAAAAGTGCGCGACAAGTAGCATCGCCCTAGCATTCGTGCATTCAGTGTGGACTTCTTGCAGGTTATTGGCCGGTGCTACTCTCTGTCCGTGGGATGTCGTCGCATACGATGGATCCGGACACGTATGTTTGTAACGAAATTTTTCGGGCGGATACTGTACACAGTTCCTTTTGGATGCATAGGAATCAACTAAAAAGTATGTATATGTAAAGTAATAAAGGGGTGAGTCTGAATTTATCTTAGACAATATGCAGGCACAGAAAAGGAGGGATAACTTGAACAGGTCTTTAGGCGTGGCTTTTGCAGGAATGAGGAAAGTGTTTTCAATTCTGGTATTGAGCTGACAGAGGATTCGTCAAATGGTGGCAAACAGGATGACAGTTTTCAGAAAAGTTCGAGAAGGTAAGCTGGTTTTTATACTTTTTAGGAAGCGTAGAGGAAGACCAGTGGAGATCATGTTTAGCTGACGGGTTTTTGTTTTGTAGGGGTGAAAAACAGGCTAGTGCTAACGATGCCGATGATTTTGTCGATGACATGCGCACTCCAATTGCACTTACGACTAGGGAGTAAGTTGTTACTTTCGCATCAGTGATTTGTTTCCTCCCGATTTCTGAGTCTCAGTGTCACTTTGTTTATAGCTTCCACTTTCTGTATTTGTCGGGTTTTCCTTTACTGAAAGCATGTTTTCCAGAGACGAGGGGAATGGCAATCTCTAGAATGGCAATCCACTGAGTGTGATTTTTGGCGTTTTTTGATTACCTCTCGCATTGCTGCATGATAGGAGTATACAGAACAGTGCTGCCAAAACGAGAGTTTCAAAGGCCCTATTAAATACAGAAAGTTCCTACAGACAAAATGATCAATTCTTTCTCAACATTACTCTTGAAGCAGTCACAGAAAATTGAGCCGTTTATCCGTCACGAACACTTCGAGAAAGGATATCAGCGCGTTTTTTGCGCGACTCGTACTATGCTCACACATTTCAAAGAAAGTTGTGTGCGAAGTTGCGAAAGTTTGGAAGAACTATTGAACAAAATACACCCAGAAAAAAACGACGATGCTTTTGGCTATATCCAAGACGAGCTTGTGTTGCATCAGTCCAGAATCGGAGCGAAGGAATGCTGTTTGGACATGACGTACAATTTGGGCCAGTTCTACTGCACTGGACCGGTTCGAACGCAGATGTAGCTCGCACAGCACATAGCTGCAAGGGTCCATGAACAGCGGAAGCATACTGATCTGATTTATTGCCGCTTCTGAATCCGTCACGATACAGCGAACTCTGTCGTTCACGTTACTTAAAATTGATCTTGACAGGTACGCTGCAAACCAGTAAAAATCATCGCCTATCCTTGTACTTCTGAACATGAAAGCGCTGAAACACAGCGCAGGTTTCCCATTCTTCTTCACGAAAACAACTGATTTGAAGCAGTGTGCGCAAACAGGGAAAACCAAAGCGAAATTACGAGGGTAATATTTGGGCAAGAACTACAAAGAGAACACGGAAGAGAACGAAAATGCGATATGTTTGGCATTAAATGAGCTAGAATTACAGACAGTTTCGAATCTTTGATATCTCAAATCCACACAGTCTCTCATTCAGGACTCGGCGACAGCACTTCGAGAGGACATTTTAGGAGTGCATACAGCGCAAAAGCGACTACTGGGAAACGTTGTGCAATGGCTTCATCGAGTTCATAAGAAACGTTGTGCCACGAATCTTGTCAGACATGTAACTACTTT